ATCATCACCACCATCATCTTCACTAATGTCACGTATCAACACACTCATCGTCATGTAACATTTTCATCATGATTACTTCCATCATCATCTGGATCATCATCATCTGGATCATCATCATCATTATTCGTTATCATTATCATCATGTATCCTCATTTTGGATCATCATCATCATCATGTAACATCATCATCGCCATCAGATAATCAGTATCAGCATTATCATCGTCATGTAACATTTCATCATCATCACTGCCATCATTAACATTTTTTATCATCATCTTGCAGTGAATCATCATCATGTGTTATAATCATCATCATCTATCCTCATTTTGGATCATCGTCATGTTTCATCATTTATCATTATTATATTCATCATTAATACATCACGTATCTTATCATGATTATTCTCAAACACTCCTCCGACAGACTCACCAGGGTCGTGTTGTAGCTTCCTAYTGACATGATGAAGAGCTTAAGTGTGTTCTCACTGTTGCTACTYGACGCCAAGCCCGCCTGAACAACAAAGAAAGAAGATCTTACTCAACAAGTCGATGGAAAGCATTAGAATTGGCCAAACAAAGCCATTGGCCAGGAAACCATGAAAGACCGGAAGTGACATCATTTAACGTAATAATTTACATACCTGGTTCCTTGTCAGCCATTCCATTTCCGGTACCTTCGCGATAGCTCTAAAAGAAAATTAAACACGCACACATAAATTTCTATACGAAAAATTCCTTTTGAAAAAGATTGAATCTACCACAGGAAGCCCAATTTTGTTAATTTATCGACACGACAACCGAGGTTGGGTTCCCTTTGGCCTCACCTTGTTAGGGCGGCACAGTTATCATTTGAGGGGGACAGTTGTAATAAACATCGGAACCACGTGTGGATCACGTGCGTCTGTAAGGATTCTGCCTCCAAGAGGTCTGGGACTCCAGGCGCCGGAATCACGTGACATAGAAACCGACAACTGAAACTGCAAGAAGAGAGCGGTTCATTTGAGAGGGAAAGTATGGATGCCTTCAATTTCATTCATTTTATTTACGGAATCGAGTCTTTGCATAATCACGCGATGGCAGCCATGACAGAAGGCACAACAATAGTCTTTTTCCCATGGGAAACTGAATTCCTTCTCAAGTCATGAAATCGCATTGGACCAGATTCAATTCTTCCTGCGTCCTGTCRTGGCTGCCATCACGTGATGGTGCACAGCCCCATTGCTTGTTATCGATCAGCTGAATGAAACTCATTAGCATCCTGCGATGACTAGCCTGCATGCATCTGAACACATACTGTTGGTTAGGTTTGTCTGCGAATCAGCGACAGATTTTTTGTTCTAGACCCCCAGCTACGTATCTAGATATATGTACTAAATTGTGATTGCTTTATTCCTACTCTCACTCTCGCGCCCTCTCATTGGCCACTTAACGTTACTCGAATCAGACAGCCTGGATAAYCGCTGAATTTTGCGCGAGCTGCCGCTTAGTTGTTTCAGCTAGTTACCAGGCCYTGCTCCTCCTTTATCTTGCTGATTAACGAGGATGTGATATAAATACACACTCTTGTACCAACCTTGCAGGCAGTTCGTCTTCAGTGCCATATTCTCTTATRAGACTCGACAATGATGCGCCAGGGGCTCCTGCTCGTTCAGGATGTCTGTATGAGAGAAAGGAAATYAGTATTTTGGATATTTTGAGTCTGTTTGTAACTGGACAAAATGATAACTGAGGGGGTGGAAACGGGGGCTGACATCTTCAGGAACCYATGGGTTAAATTTTGTTGCTTATCACGTGATGGCACAAAATATTTTTAGAACTCTTTCTGTGGAAAACCAGAACTCTGAGCACAGGAAGCCCAATGTAGTCAAAAGTAAATTTCACGACGTTGGACACAGACGTTACAGCAGTGGAAGAAAAAAAAAGGTTAAAGTTGGTACCTGTCCAGGGTAAGGAGAGCAAATCCTGCCATAGTATCAGCGAGAATGATGGGCAACGACGTCACAACACTACGATCTCGAATCAGCTTCTGAAGATGAGGAAACAAGTGTGTCCAAAGGCAACTCACAATGTCTGAAAAGGTAAGAAAATATACTAAATTGAAGAGGAGAGTTAAGATTAGCTACTACTAGATAGATGAGGCAGTAAGCCGTGTGGGATGGGCTCGGGTTTCAACTCACCAATTACCATGCGTAATAGGTAAATTACGAAGGCTCGTAATTTACCCATTACGCATGGTAGTTAGTGAGTTGAAGTGATGACTTCTCCCCCTTAGAGCAGCCCCTTAGGCATTCTGGTATTAAAGCTTTTGTGGCTGACCCGAGTAAAAATAATAGCCAATCAGAATGGAGAAAAGATTGCGAAACTGAGGTGTCACTTTTGAAATTATGTATTTCAAGGCCACTAAATATATAAAGCCCCGTTTACACTAGCGATTTTTGCTGCGAATTTTGCTGCGATTTTTTTGCGATATTGTCCATAATAAATAATGGTAAAGAATTTACTTGTAAAGTTTTTTTCAGGATACCAAGATTTTCCTAGACGAATGTCTCTTTTGAAGGATGAAACAAAAGATTTCATATTTCCGAAAATTGCCACAAAAATCGCAGCAAAAGTCGCCGCAAAAATCGCCAGTGTAAACAGGGCTTGAGATAGTGTTTGTTTTTGAAAGCTTGATAAAAGTGACACATTAACCATTGAGTTTTATATTTTCATAGCAATGGTGGGTATTATTTTCTTTCTTGCGGTCAATTTTTGCTAAGTTCCTGACACCTCACTTTTGCTGTGCCATTATATCTAAGTAACTATTTCAAATCAACTGGTTATAGACCACAATGTATTATTTCATTGGAAACAAATACTTTGACCACTAAATACACACTGTTTTGGCCACTACCTGGTCGGGATTCTTCGATACTCATTCTGTCTGGGTTGTGTGGTCTAAAGGCAAAAAAAGAAAAAAAAGTAAAGAAAAGAAAAAAAGGAAGAAGAAAAAGGATGAACAAAGGCTCTTATTTATAGAGGAATCTATCAAGTTTTTTTTGCTACAAAATTTGGTCTAAAAGAGAATGAAGACTAGAGTCAGACTCTCTTACCGTATGGCGTCGAGTATCGATTGTACAAATGCTAGCAGATGGCGAAGCTCGTTTTCTCTACAGCTGGTAAAGAGGTAATTAAATCCCTCGCTTTCTGTACAATAAAGAGGGAAAAGCTTTTCTTTAATTCGTGGGCCGAAGAAAGGGGCATCAGCCTGATACTACCCTACCAGCACTATCCTACATCACACATCAAACAGCACAGTAAATAAAGAAATAATGGACAAGGGAATGAGGTGTATTTAATAGGGAAAACAGCACACCCAAGTTGAATGGTTTTAATTGTTATGAAATGATTCTTGGAACAGATTGAGTAAGAGACTATTAAATACGTCGTATGGTACACTTCCTACATTTGTGTAGCCTCTTATATCCCCTTCTAAGGTTACGCACCAAGCAACTTTGTCTCTGATAAATCCTGCTTGTTCTTATGTTCAAATACTTCTTGTGTGCCATCAAGATAAAGGGCCACAAGGTCCCACGAGTGCCTTTGATGGCCCTTGTCTCGGTTGCTACTGCTGTTTTCAGTGTACTCCTTGACAACCGTTGAAAAAATGTCAGCAACTTTGCACGCCAAGTAGCCAAAATCGGTTTTCCTTTCTTTGTAGACCAGCATGAGAGAAAACAGACCTGGAGAAGAAGAAAAAAAGAAGATGATTAGCAACAGAAAATGGCTTGCTCTTTATTGTACTAGTCAATGGGGAAGGAATTCTGAGGCTTGTCAGGTGATGAAAGTAGACGTGACGATGAAAAAAACACATAATAATTATGATGGTGACACATGATGATGACATTTGATGACACATGATGATGAAACATGATGATGCATAATAATGATGATGATGACAACACATGAAGATGGTGACACATGATAATGACAATGACGACACAATGATGGTGATGTAAAATGACAATGACACAAGATGATGCATGATGACAACACATGATGATGATGGTGATGCATGATGATAATGCATGACGATGATGATGATAATGAATGACAATATTATAACTGTAGTTGATAATTAATGATGTTGATGATGAGAGTGGTGATACAAATGGAGATTGAAGATAATAACTTCAATGATGATGGTGATAATGGTGGGTGAAGATGGTGGTGATAATATTTATTCTGTACCTTTTAAAATAACCAATTTTTTATTAGGTTGTTCACTACTAAAGTCAAGTAGGTCCAGAAAAGAACACATTTTGTTGGCCTGTGTAATACAAAAACACAAAAATCCATTGAAATTGAGTGTAACCTTTAAGTTTTATTAATACCCTGTAAGGGGAACTGAAAACTTAGAAATCCAATAGTAATGTATCTTGTTAGGTTTCGCAGAGGAAGGAAAACCAGAGATTCTGTAGAAAAACCAATGAATCAAAATGGAGATGTAATAAACTCTAGTCACTTGTAATCCCAAGTCCATTGAACTTAATATCAAATTGAACTAAGGATCCCATAGATGAAAGGCAAGTGAAGTATTGCTATGCCGCCTTTGATCCTTTAGTAACCATTTAGTTTGAATTTCTTACAGATTTTTAACTTTATATTTTCAGAATAAAAAAAAGGGAAATTGGAMCATAAATGTTAGGGGTGCCCTCTCCTTTCGCGACTGCAACAATCATTATACCCATGTAACAAGAAGTACATACCACATCTTCAAGTTCTGCTACACAAGAAAGAGTGAGAAACAGACTTAGAAAGTGCCGCACTCCTGTTTCATTCAGTTCTTCCATACGGCGCTTATGAAACTTGGAATAAAATCTGGAAGAAGAAAAAACCTGGTAATTCCACCATCTTAGTGATTACATCGTATATTCCAATTCGGAAACTTAACACTAATGTACTAACAATTAACTCATGATTGCAAGCTGCAGGGCTGCTAACTGGGTCTTAATATGCAGCTCATAAAGTCCTCCACGGTTCATAAATGTAAAGTGCATTGAGAAAATGTGAAATGAGATATATAAGAACATGATCATCATCATCATTATTATCATATTATCATACCTACTCCCCACCTCTCCCTCCCCTCCCCCACAGCATACTCTTGGTCTTTCCTTCTATGTACGATACTATCATCCCTCCCCTCCCATAGAACCCTACCTTCCTTTCATCTGTTTCCAGCCTTGTAGTGATCCAGTGCTCAGGAGTTTATTGAGATGAATGGCAATCAAACGAAGCAGTAAAGAAAAGCTGTTTTCTTGGTCCATACTGGTGAGTGATAAACAAATATGTTCATACATACCTTATCTAAAGGCCAGAGTATACATATACAACAATAATTATCAATAGATTTAATTGGTAATGCAATGTTGTCTTATTACAGACCATGTGTCATTCCCAAGAGTATCATTTTTTGTCATTCCCTGGAGAATCATTTATTTGTTTAATAGTTGCGCATGAGAAGACACATGAATTATGGATACAACTCAAACAAAGAATATCTTTCTCTAGGGAATGACCCCTGGTCTGAAATGGGTAAATGTTGTATTAAGACAAATAAGGTCCATTGCTGCAGAGAGGAAAAAGGGGAATAGAAAGAAAGAAAGAAAGAAAGAAAGAAAGAAAGAAAGGAACATAAAAGACAGACAAAAAAGAAAAAAAAAGAATAAAAAAAGAGAAGGAAGGAACAAAAGGAAAAAATGAAAAACAAAAATGAAAAACTGAAAGACAGACAGAATAAAGGTGAAAAATAGAAAGAAAAAAGGTATGGATCCCATTTTTTCACTTATCCTACCAAGGTAGTAACCCTTCCAATAATCAATAATTGGGTTGGAATCCCCCTGGAGCTCGGCATTTTTTTCCAAGAAAAATATGCTTGATGAAACATAAAAATCACATCTTTAATTATCACCTTGTTTGTACACCACGACAGCGATCAAAGCATTGTTCTGTCAACTGACTTGAACTCAAACTGAAAAAATTGAAAAATGTTAAAAGGGAATGGTCCTAGAAAATGGCATGATTACATCTCATACCTAACGGTTGCCATGCCATGTAGTGAACTACTAGGAATGTTGAATAAATCATTCTAAAGAAAGAAAGAACCCAAATAGTTAATACAGCTTGGGACCCCTGTGGTTTTTGCTAATTTGATAGGCTTATCATTACTTTTATTGGTAAGGTAATAAATTACTTAGGTTGGTTTGGCTGTGGTGTATTCATAATTTTGTTTGTAAGGTGGGTTGCCTGTGGTTTATGCATCGTTTTTTTGGTAAGGTTGAGTTAAAAAAAGGTAAATCTAATATTTTACTTCAATGCGAGAGTGATTGTCCAATTCTCTCACACCAGGAGCTCACGTATGAAGCTCTCGAAAGTGCRCACTTACCCCCTCAGTGCTCCTTATTTTGTGTATTTAAAGCGAAAGCTACACAGAACAGAGAGAAGTCGAAACAGATGTGGACCTCTAGCACTGAAAGCTGTGCACTAACCAACTGAACTATGACTGCTCCTCAACCATTCAGGTTGGGTTGCCTGTGGTGTTTGCTAACCATAACTCACCATCTTCTTGTGAAAGTAATCCCACAGCCAGAGAATGAGCCCAGTGTGTGCTGACCAATTAATAGACACAGTTATGCAACACTTTAAATAAAACCTCCTCTGAGCCTCTTCATGACCATCCTAATAACGAAATAGATCAAAAATCCTCAGTTTGCTAAAAACTCTGCCGCAAATAATGCTCCTCGGCTTGGATGCAATGTTTTCCATTTCAGACCACGTGTCATTCCATTGAGAATAAGATTATTTGTTTGAGTTGTATCCATATTCATCTGTCTCCTTATGTGCAACCATTAAACAAATAATTGATACTCTGGGGTAAGACACTGGAGCGCACTGGAGGCGAGGAGGTTCATTGGTCAAAATTTCTTGTCTCTCAAAGAAATTTATCTTTTAACGCAGACAATCCATTTGGCATGGCTTTTTCAACAACTTTTGAACAGCAGAGGCTTTCTCACTCTTACCTTAAGTGCACTAAGAGAGGTCTTCAGAAGGTCAAACACAAACACCCAGTTGCCTGGAACAGACCCCTGTCACCACAGGAAGACCAATTTAGATAATGGAGAAAATATATAAAAAAACAAGATCAAAATTTTATGTCAGTGTAATAAATTAGGAAAAGCAAAAAGAAAGTTCGACACATCTCTTTATTTTACGTTTTTTCCCACAAAAATCTCGAATCAATCACTCAACCCTTCTTATTTCCATATTTGCTACGTTTCAGCTTCAGATTGGACAATGTTTGTTTTCTTGCTTTCTGATTGGTCGAGAGCGAAAGCCATTTGTGTGTCACGTTACGTTTTCCAGCTCACAGGAACTCCCGTTTTAAAATACCTTCTTTTTGGCGGAAAAGACGCCTTTCTCGTTATACCAGTACAGAGGAGCCACATGCGATACCAGCCACCAAGAAAAGCCAACGGGATCTTTACAGTTGAAGTTCAACGGAGCTAAAAAAAAAGACATGCGCAGTGTGTTTTTAAAACGTATAATCCATACTGAGCGTCATCCCACACGTCAAAGAGAGTCTAGGCGGTAGTCTTCGACTTACGAATCAACTTTTTCGTTACTCTGGTTTCCCTTCAGAACGCACAAATCTTTCGCCTTTTACTAAAGATTTCCGTGGAGGGGAACAACTTAATGAGTCTATAGACTAATTTTTTGTCGCCCTGCCTTAGTGGCGGGGCAATTACCGAAAAATAATCTAAATCTTTGACTATATAATAAGAGGTTTTCCGTAAATTCTCACACGGATGCTTGCATGGTTGGCGCTCGTATAGCGTTTTTGAGACCGAGAAAAAAATGCTTAAACTGACTAAAAAAAGTGTGAATCGTTTTATACTTTAGTATCTTTCGCGTTTTGGCCATAGTTAACCTCTATTAACTATGTTTTGACATATCGAATGTAAGGATTTGGGATGAATCGCGTAGATTTGAAAAAAACATGACGTTTCTCGTTGTATATTTTCTTGTTGGTCTCGCATCGAAAGTTGATTTCGTAAACCATTATCAGATTTGATGAAAAGGTAAATTATACACCGTGAAAAGATGAAAAAACTTACTGACGTTTCGGACGCTAGTCCTTCGTCGGAGTAAAAGAGAAACTTCACTTCTTTCTCTTTTACTCCGACGAAGGACTAGCGTCCGAAACGTCAGTAAGTTTTTTCATCTTTTCACGGTGTATAATTTACCTTTTCATCATTACTGTTTCATTAGAAACACCGAMGCAGCTCACACTAGTTTTTAGCTAGTTATATCTCATTATCAGATTTGTCATCTGTTATGACTACGCCGACATCCTCTTTTGGAAAGCACGGCGTAAGACTTCCAATTAATATTTACATTTGTTAAGAGCCCCGCCGTTAAAGCAGGGCGACAAAAAATTAGTCCATAGACTCATTGCGTTGTTCCCCTCCACGGAAATCTTTAGTAAAAGGCGAAAGATTTATKCGATYTGAAGGGAAACCAGAGTAACGAAAAATGGATTCGTAAGTCGAAGTCGACCGTCTAGACACTCTATGACATGTGGGATGTCCTTTGAATATTTATGATCTTACGATTCATGTCGATGAACACCTACTACGCATGGCAGAAGGAATGATACAATTTATTGAAATATTTTGAAAATACCAAATTTAAATTATTTAGTTAGTTTGAGAAAAAAGTTATTTAGTTTCACTTATGTTTTGTTTATTTTGTTTTGGGGGGTTAACGAGTTAAAACGTCGAGAAAGCATAAAAGCGAAATAGAGCGTAACGCATTATTATTCACGCAACGCAACGCTGTGACGACCACGTGCGTCACACATTGAAAATCCAAAAAAAAAAAAGCTTTTGTCTTATTCATCTCAAAAGTAAAAATATTGAAAAGAAAACGAATTATAGCAAAAAAAGATTTTTCAAACACGTATTTGTCTAACAAAAACCAAACCAAACGAACGAAAAAGCAAAAACAAAACAAGCAAACAATGAAAAAATCCAAGTAGATACCCTTTCTTGGACGATATTTTCGCATTACTTTGGCATTGAGAAAATTTTTTCTTAGTACCTTGGTTCGAGTATTTTTTTGTTTGAAGAGCATATTAAGGATTATTTTGTCAAGACAAAGTTTGATAACTTTTGAAAAATCATACAGGATATAAGATTGAGTAACCATGGTAACAACACAGGTAACCCACTCAAGATATTTGGACATAAAAAAGTACAAAAAAACCTGTTTGAATTTATATAGAAMTACCATATGTTGCAGGAGAGTCTTGAGTGTCGTTTTGCATGGAGGTTGAGGTGTCTTCCGGATTCATTACTTCATGTAAAATGCAGGACAGCGACGACCAAAATGGCTGGTTAAAACAAAGTGTTTTGTTATCAAGTCTAACCTGTCTCTGGTACAAAACTTATATTTTTATTGCATGCCAAAGGTTTAGTACTTGGACCCTTCGAGTATGAGCAGACGTTTGTCTTTGCAGCCCTTTCACCAATCCTATTCCCAGAACCTGCGTTCATAGTACGTAGACAGCACCATGGAAGGTTTCTTGGTGCTGACTATAAAGGTGCTGACACAGGGTGCAACATTGCATGCAGCATTGCACACAACAGGACTGTTGCAGCCTGTCTACCCCAAACTTGTTGCATGCAACTGCATGCAGCAAATCTGAAGTTCAATCACACTCTACTCTTGCAACATTGTGCGCAAAAAAATTTATCATGTGAACATGGCTGCAGCCTTACCTGCAACATTTGACATTTCCAGCCAACCAGCTTACACCAAATTTATAATGGTTGACCAAATATCTTAACATAGCAGGCTGACACAAGCGACGTTGCATGATTTTGTTGCAATGTGTGTCACCCTGATTCAAATTTGTTGCTTGCAGTGTTGTGTGCAATGTTGCATCGTGTGTCAGCACCTTAAGTAACACAGGTCCAACACTTGTCTTTTCACACAAACAAAAGTTGAACAGACAAAAATCAAAGACAACTGTTCTTACCTCGATATCAAAGTTAGAAGACAGGTGATCCATTGTTTGGATGAGAAGAACCCACAGCTCACAAACACATGAACAGGGATAGGGTGATGCCCTGTGGGAATCAGCACGGTTTACCTAGCGTCCAATCAAAATATTCTATATTAGAAAAACAATTTTGAGAGGGACTGGTAAAAAAGCTTTCATATGTGAGTAAGGTCTGGGTACTAGGATGTTGCCCATGTAACTGTGGGGGGAGGGGAGAGTAAATTCATGAGAACATACTTTATTGTAAGAAATAGCAGCCAGAGATGTAAGATCCCATAACAAAGGCATCACAATCCTTTTAACAGAATCAACAATGTTGTCCACCTCACTGGAATGGCTTCTAGTTTCTTTATCTGAAAAACAAACAAAATTTAGAGTCTGATGAATAACTGTACATGACTGATAGCTTAAGTTGTTTCTTTTTGAACCAAGAGAGGTGGGGTAGGGGATGAAGAATAATGACAAGTTGGTAATTCAAAACTCCTTGCAGAGGCAGTAAAATAAAGGCAAATCTGGGACCCCTTACTCATTGGARGTAATATGTAGACCGATTCCTCCCACTGGATGGATCTGCATGGGAGATATTGTCACCCTCTTGGTGTCAGAAGGTAGAAAATATCCATACCTCCCCGAAAGAGGGGGATTGGAATTTCCAAGGGGTGGGGAGGGTCTGAGGTACCCTGGTCCCAGAGGCTCGACGAATTTTCTCCTGGGCACGTATATTTTGAGCCACGAAGCTGTGAGTTATTTGCAAAGCAGCGAGAATATTTTTTGAAGTTTCTAAGATTATGTAGGTCTAACGTCTACCCCTCCCCTAGAAATGCACAGATTTTTTCTGGTACTACAATCAAGTACATAGAAAGCATCTACCTTGCTTTAGAAGTATCTCCCACAATGCTTGTAATGTATTCCAGATTAAATCCAAGTACAAATGAAAAAGATGCGACACAGCTGACGGGCGGGAGGACGAGAAGATACCGGGATTGTCTGCTCTGATGACTGAGGCAAGAGGTAATTCTGTTAACCTCCCCAGAAAAAGAACCAGAGCTTCTAGTTGCTTTCGTATGATGGTTGATATGCGAAGCAGGCTTTGGATGAACTGGTTGTCAGCGAAATGCAAGGTAGTCCATGATGTCATTAGGCAACTGAAAAAGAAAAAGGAAAAAATGGTCAATTATCACCCCTGATATCTCCAGTGTGCTACACACTGTTGTAATTAATATAATACAGTATATTTCTACTAACTTGTTTATGAAGTAATGAAGGTATGCCATAAAGGTAGCACATTCTTTTCTTATATCTGTACATTTCATATTTGCTTCATCTGAAAAACAAAAATCATAGTCATTTTTTAATAAAATAAGATAAAATAAAATCCATTTTGGTATAAATTATAACTTGAGTGGCCACCAACTTTGTCCCCCCCTCCCCCTATACACACACGCCAATCCTGGATCCTCCAGAAAGATAATCGAGGCACACTAAACAGTGTAATACTTACGAGAAAGAGGTAGGATTCCTTCTTCACTCTGCATACTCTCTAGTTTGAAAATCTGTTGTCTAAAAAAATTAATGGACTCATAAATGTGTAGTACCAGAACCTCCTCCACGAAAGGGAATTGGAATTTCCAAGGGGTGGAGAGAGCATATTGTGTTGTTCATCCATACCTCCCCCAGGTCACAGAGGGGGATTAGAATTTTCAAGGGGTTGGGAGGGTCTGAGGAGGGTATATTGTGTAGTTCCAGAAAATAGAGATGCAAAAATATCCCCAAATCCACCACAAAGAATAGAAACTTCATCTTAACATTTTCTACAATATTCTCTGTTGGAGGGAGGGGTTTGGATGATTTTTGGAGTAATTTCATACCTGAGTAGGTAAAACATTGAGTCTGTCTGACAGAAAAGAGCACTGCATGCAACAAATTTGGACCCAAAGAGCTTGATAACTGGTTCTCTGAATGACTTGGTGGGCATTTCTTCTGGATGTATCAGTCTACAAGTTAAATAACAATTTCCAATGAGTAAACTTATTATAGTCTAATAACAAAATAATACTTCAGTATATCCTCCTCAGACCCTCCAAAAACTCCAATCCCTCTCTAAGGGGGGTTGGTATGGATATTTTCTATAACTACATAATATATCCTCCTCAGACTTTCCCCACACCTGAGAAATCCCAATCCCTCTTTGTGGGGGAGGTATGGATAATTTCTGGAACTACACAATATACAGTACCCTCTTAAGAGCCTTACCACCCCCTGGAAATTCCAATCCCATCTAGGAGAGGTATGAATGGGGGGAGGGTTGAGAGTGTTTTGCAAGGGGAGTATGTCGCCCTCTTTCTTCTAGCAAGACATGCACGATAAAGAGTAACATATAAAGCTTATTACCCATCTAACACTCCTTGACCAAGATAGCTATTCAAAGTTGCCTGTTCTCTTTCATCTTTGAGGAAAAACATTTTCCCGTCGCATTCAAAAGGAAAACAAAAAACAGCTGTTTTAAGATTTCTTGGAGAATCTACAAAAACAATCATTTAAAAAATATAGTTTAGAGCCATAAATCCAGAATAATAATTTACAAAACAACTTGATAAAAATACTGAAGGAACGTTCAAGACTTTCGTAGACCTTCAATCCTTTCCTCGAGTTTATCTGCGATTGCTGCAGGAAAACTTTGATCATTAGGTCGTTGTTCAACAACTCCATCTTCGGTATCCATCATTTCAAATTCTCCACTTTCAGTCCATTCTGAGAACTGAATCTCAGAATCTTCGAGATCCTCCATTTTGTCTTGGGCTTTCTCCCTTCAAAATAACAAATTCCCCGCCAATTTTACGACTCTTTACGAATCGATACGAAAAGGTATTGATGAAGTAATTGTTAGGTTACCTTTCGTGACGAATAAAAATCGATTTAATCCGAGACGCACCCGAGATGGGTTCGGAAGAATGTGCGCCCTTGAATATATGCTTGGCCTCCCCATAGTTTATTACACGAGGTACAGCGTTCTTTCTCGATCAGAGTCAAAAACTGTGGCATCTCTTATTCTTCCTTCTCTAAAAGGTCCAAAATAATTTCCAATCGTGTTTAAGAGAGCTCTTGGCCTTGTGTAGAAGCAAAGATGACAGACGAAAGCGCTCCTGCATTGACGGAAGAGGCTCAGAAACTCGTGAGCATCGGCGTGGGCCTTCGCGTTGCTCAGAAAGTTGCAGAAATCTTCAGTAGTGGAGCTCTTCTTCCTAAAGAACTAGATGACAGAGCTTTAGATGCTTTGAGAGAATTCAACGAAGAAGGAGCTTTAGAAGTCCTGAATCAATTCGCTAGCAGCGATCTGTCCCATGTGCAGAACAAAAGTGCGTTTTTATGTGGAGTTATGAAGACGTATCGGGAGAAGAATCGCATGAAACGCGACGGTCAAGATCCTACAGCCGGCATGAAAGGACCAGATGAAGCGAAGATCAAAGCGCTACTTGAGAGAACGGGATACACTTTAGACATAACCACAGGACAGAGAAAGTATGGCGGTCCACCACCTAATTGGGAAGGTCCTGCTCCAGGGACAGGATCTGAGGTAAAACATGTTCAAATAACGGTAGAATAAACTGTCAAAAACATGCAGACCTTTCAACTCCATGTGATCGTCAGACACATCTTAATTCTAATGTAATCATTTTCCTATCAATCGACCACTAAGCGAGGAAGAAACTATAATTTTGATTCGTTTTATCATTTTTAAGACAAATTTTTGGATAAAAACCATTGTTTGTAGATTTCACTGTGGATTGCTGGAATCAGCATACTATCGCGAGCACATGGATGGTTCGTTGATAGTCTATGATGCATAGAACGTAGTTATGGTATCGTATGTAATATACTTGCCCATCGCGATGTTTATATAACTTAGTTTTAATAAAATCTACAATTTTAACTTTTGAAGGATGTTTGGATGAAGAAGTTTAGGTTTTTGTTTAATTTTTTGGCATCGAGGTTTTCAGGTACTTATCAGCTGAATGAATCTCATTACCAGCCAGCCAAGAAAAACGGGCAAACACTGCCTGTCATGTGCTATCAACCAGAGAATATTCTATTGCTTGGTATCAATCAGCCAAGTAAATCTCCTGAATGTTTATGCCCTCTTGTTCTTATTTCAATCCACAGAAAGTTTGCTCACAAGTATTCATTGGAAAGATCCCCAGAGATTGTTTCGAGGATGAACTTATTCCAGTCTTTGAAGAGTGTGGTCAGATTTATGACTTCCGACTGATGATTGACCCTATTACTGGACTTACCAAAGGTTATGCCTTTTGCACTTTCACTGAAAAATCTGGTGCCCAAGGAGCTGTCAAGAAACTAGACAACAAAGAGATCAGACCTGGGAAGAGGCTTGGCGTTTGCATTTCTGTTGCTAACAGCCGGTTGTTCGTAGGTTCAATCCCAAAGACCAAATCCAAGGAAGAGATCCTGGAAGAATTTAGCAAAGTTACAAGCGGTTTGAGTGACGTTATAGTGTATTTCTCTGCTGACCAGAAAGGTAAAAACAGGGGTTTTGCGTTCTTGGAGTATGAATCTCACCAAGCAGCTGCTCTCGCTCGACGTAAGCTTAGCACAGGGAGAATTAAGGTGTGGGGTAACATCGTTGTTACTGTCGACTGGGCTGACCCACAAGAGGAACCTGATGAAGACCAAATGTTGAAGGTATGTCATATCCAGTTTGTTCATTATCCACAATTAACAAGGATTGGTGCTGTTGATGGGCTAATTTTGTAAAATTACAACTATCAATCAATGTTTATGATAGTATGTGGCCCTCATCTCTGGGGTCTTTGGTTTGAAACTTGATTCCCAGACTCTGCATCCCATTGAAATAGAATATGGTATAAGTCTACTTTAATTCAAGGTATTTTCTCCAAGTTTTCTGAATTTCATCCCTTCCCAAAACCAAAGAAACTAAATTCTAGGTAGATGTGTGAGTTAGCCATGCCCTGACTTAGATCACCCCAGAGGGTGTTTCAGGGTTTGATATGCGAGTTAGTCAGGCCCTGACTTAGATCAGCCCAAAGAGGTGGTTTCAGAGTTCAATCTGTAAGTTAGCTGTGCCTTAATTTAGACCAGCCCAGAGGTTGTTTCAGGGCTTGAGTTTTCAAAAGGTTTCATAAATGATATTTTACTTTTTCAGGTGAAAGTTGTTTATGTAAGAAACTTGAGTCCAAGCATAAGTGAAGATAGAATAAGAGAGGAATTTGAAAAATTTGGAAGTGTTGAAAGAGTCAAGAAAATCAAAGACTATGCCTTTATTCACTTTACTGAGCGTGAAAATGCAGTCAAAGCCATAGAAGAAATGAATCACAAGGAGTTAGATAATATTCCCATCGAAGTCTCCCTAGCAAAACCCCAGCCCTCTAGCAGGGACCGATGCCAGGGGCAATCTGGCTATGGGAGTTTGAACGCACAGCGTGCACGAGGTGGAAAATCATTTGGAGGTGGCCGAGGACGTGGTGGCGGTGGTGGTGGGTATGGTAGAGGAGGTGGACGTGGAGGGTATGATGGAGGCTATGGAGGGGGCTATGGAGGAGGCTATGGAGGTGATCATGGTTATGATAGCTATGGCGGTGGGTACGGTGGAGATTATGGTGGATACGGAGGGGGTGATTATTACGATAGTTATTATGGTGGTGGTGGTTATGATAGCTACTATGGTAGTGGTGGCAGTAGCACCAGTGGTGGTAGTGGATATCGTGGAGGCCCCCGAGGTGGCAGGGGTGGACCCCGTGGTGGAGGAGGAGGGAGAGATAGTCCTCGTGGAGGATATGGTAGAGGAGGGCGAGGCGGCCCACCAAGAGGTCGAGGAGGGGGAGATTTCGGAGGTAGAGGAGGACGAGGCGGAATTGCTCCATCAAAGAGAAAATATGGTGCTGATAACCCACAAGGAGTCGTCGGTTACCCAGAACCCAAGAAACGATACATGTCTGAAGGACAAGACCAAGGGTACCAACAATGGGGTGCCCAGCCAATCCCCCAAGCACCTCAGTACGGCTCTGGGTATGGAGACCAGGGTGGACAAGAGTGGTACCAAGACAGCTACAGCCAGCAGTGGAAGTGATCAGTTTGGCCAAAAATTGGCTCAGTATTATGGTTATTTTGGCTGCCAATTATCTTGATAGATTTGACATTAAAGTCTAAACCCGTAATAATTGGCTCTGATTTGGCCATATCCTGGAATTGGTGTTGCACATTGGAACTGATTTTCGTTTCCTATAAACAACGTGAAATACGAAAAGACCCTGGATTATGCATACATTTTTAACAGTTTTGTGCCTCAACAAGTCTAATGATTTTTATAATTTTTTTTCTCCTTTTATTCCTTATTGTACTTGAACAATTTAAATTTGGCACATTTTAAGTTCTAACTGGACGTGACTCATTGTTTTTACGATTGTGGCTTTGCAAAAACTTACAAGAAAACAAGCCATGGCCAACTTAACGCGTCAATTGACTCTAGAAAAAAAACTTGTATAAATAGCAACTTATAGAAGTTTTCTAATTTATTGACAACAAAGAAGTTAAAAGAAAAAATATACTGTTTGCAAGWTTATCCTTGAAGCCAAATTCCTAGAGAACGATGGCAAGCTTGCAGTTTGGGTAGATCTGCAAATTATAGTTGAATGCTAATTATCAAATAAAGTGGAAAAACACTCAAAAATACATAAGTTCTCTTGTTGAAATTGTTTCTTTTTGTCCTCCAAAATAAATATCCCAACGCATTGTACCCAAAAAACATCAAATTTATCCTGAGATTGAAAATTGATTTTTTTCAAATCTCAAAGAAATTGAATTTCACAAAATTGTTTGAACAAAAATGCAACCTAAAAGGTCACAGAGTGCTTTACAGCCAAAAACTCGGGTAAGTTGAAGGTAAGTATGTGTGAGACCTTCGTCTATTAATCTATAGACACCTTGCATTGAATTCCTAGAGGAATTGTTCTGTTGGACAAAACAATAGGGCATCTTTTCTTATGCAAAAAAAATCCATTGTTTTGTTCCCAGAACAATTCCTCTAGGGACTCGGTGCAAGGGTCTATTAAGCTTTAGCTGTTGTATCACAGCTTGGGACAAACACAACAGAGCTAGGCTCCAACTAGGTGAAAGCCCAGAGACCGAATAAGAATTTGATGTTTGAGGAGGGAGGAAAACCAGAGAACCTAAAGAAAAACCCTCKAAGCACAGGAGAGAAACAACAAACAACTGTACTCAYATATGACATCGAGATCGGCGGGACTCAAACCCAGGTCCAATGGTGAGAGGTGATGCATTAGGAGCGAATGCCACCTGTGTCACCAGTGCTTGTAATTTAAGAAAACTATTTACAGACCAGAGGTGATCCAAAATGTTGAACATGGTGCATACTAGTCTATCTTGGGTTTATTTACCTTTATTGTGTTTATAACCAAGCTAGACAAGAATGCATCTTGATTTGTACCACTGAGACTAGTATTCAAAAAAGCTATTAGAAATATGCAGGCAATTTTGTATATCTTCTACCCAAAGATTTGAGACCTTGAGGAATTTTCTTGAGGATAAGTCTCTCCCTTATTAAGTGAGAGTACAATCTATTGCCAAACTAAAACAAAAGCAATGAATGGAATTAGTTTGTGCTATATACTCTGCTTTTTCTGACGGTTTATGACTTGAAATATGAAAAAARAGGGCGAAAAAAGGATACTGGGTCGAAATGGGTCCCCAAAATTATTCAAGAAATTTATAAACGAGAGAGAAAAGTCCGACAAACGAGGAATAAAGTCATTTTACAGTGGTATATTGCTTTATTGAATGAAGCTACAAACAATTTGAAATGTGAATAAAGAATTTGCGCGCGCATTTGTCAAAATTGAATTGAAATTTTTGAGCAAGGATTTTATGCAATGTGAAGTCATTGATTTGACGAATGCATTGAGTAGGGTATTTTTACCCATCGTAAACAAAAGCAAAAACGCTGCTTTAATTTGGGGGAAAATGAAAATTCTAAATAGAAATAATGAATAACAACAGGCCAATTTTATTCCGAATTCAAGACTGTCGTTTAAAGTCGCTCAATACGATAGCAACCCTTTTCTAACTCTTACCTCTAGCATTGAACTTCGTCTTACTATATTGTTTTTCTTTTGCAACCCGATGCTTTTAGAACTGTTTTCTAAATAAGTAAAAAAAAAGCTTCGACAGAATGGAAAAACGCAAGTATATTGAAGTGGCATTTGTCAATGTGTGTTTTTTTTGTAAATGTTATCCTTTTTATTATGTTTTATTCTGTATTGTGCCTATATATTTTGTTTTGCAGGTATTCTTGTGTCATTCTCGAGAGAAGTGACGAATGGATGTGTAGCGAAGATTTCGTCACGTAGCTTGGTGAAGACAAGTCAATGAGCAATTTTTTTTGTATTTGAAGTCGTAGTTTTTTTACGGGAAGGAAAAAAACTATGCATTGGGAATTTAACAACAATCCAAATCTACGAAGCAATAATATCTTGTGTTTACTAAATGTTGAGACAATTTAGCTACAGATATTTTAGTGGTATTTAAATTTATCTTGGAAAACTACCAGAATAGTTGCAGGAACAAAAGAACTGTTCTAATTATTAATGGCGTTGGTGTCTAGCTTTTGGATTTAAGACAAAAAAACACCTGTTTTTGTTTGTCGTTAGACGTTAATCTTAATTCAAAATGGGAACAAAATCTAAAAGTAAGAATATCTTTTTATGTACACTGATTTACGAAGAAAATCTTATCCGACCGGACCATGGACTTGCAATCATACCAGGTATAGTATTTCAAAGCGTTTAATCTTTATGTATCTCTTTGAAGTTGAAAATAAAAATTTGAACGGAACAAACTTGTGTATGTGTCGTATATTTTACGAAAGACAACATTTCGAAAGTAGGAAGATGTAAACATGAAGAGTTTGAAAAGAAGCAAGGAAAAAAGAAAACGGGAAAGACAAAGAATGAAAGACTTGATGTTGTTTGAAGATCTTTCTTTTCTATTTTGATCTTTTTTAAACTTTCAAAGATCATCAAAATTGAACGAGCTTGAGTCGTTCAAATGTCCTCGCATGGAAACTCATTAGTTTATAATTATTGTTTAAATTCTCATAATTTTGAAAGAAATTTATGTCTTTGAAATAAAATAGAAACTGAAAACATGCAAATGAAATGAGATGGATTTTGATTGGTCCACGTATTCAAGGGAATACCCCGCATATTAGTACGCATGCGTCTGTCCTTGCAGCTGACTTCCAAAATGGCTTCTCTCTTCACCTTCGCGATTCTCTTGGCTCTTTTCACTTCACAGTCTTTTGCCAATAAGGTAGAAGATGAAGATCAGTGCAGGACATATGCTGGAGGACAGGTTTACCCAGAAAGAACAAAGATCCCTGAGCACGCAATGCACTGGAGCAAAGCTCGAAGTAAGATTCAACTTGTTAGTGATTTTAATCCACGTGTGCTTATATTTTCTTTAAAGCTCAACATTTATTCAAAAATATATCTTAAATTCTTTAACTTCATGCGCTTATCTCTTCACGAAAGCCTTTTAAATAGTCCTGAATACTTTCTATATATGTATGTGTTTGCTCGAATTTTATATAATCAAAATTTCATGGATGAGTTTTCTTCATGTTAAGCTTGTACAACTACAAAAGAAGGACAAAAAGGGTTTCGTGCAGCCTAAGCGTTGTTTAACTCATAATATTGGATTTCTGTATTCTTTGCTTTGTTTAGCATTTCCGTTTCGTTAGTTAAAAAAAAAAATAATAATAATAATAATGTCTTTATTAAAGAAATGATAAAATACATATCATTAACATGATTATAATC